CCAGGCATCATGCTTCTGTCTGTGCTCCTCCTGCTGACCTTGAGTGGGCACCAGCTATATCCTCTGTGGGTCTTGGTGTTCACACCTTCAAATGGACTTGAAGTCCTATAGTGGGTGGTCAGACAAAGCAGGAGGGAACTGAGGTGGGCATGTGGAGGGGTTTGTGATCCAGCTCCCAGTTCCAGAGTGCACTGCTGACTCCTCTCTGCCCCCATTCGTAGACAGTGTTCCGGCCACCCTTGGACATGTACGATGTGCTGATCCGCCTGTCTCCCCGCCACATCCCGCGGCACCGCCAGGCCGTAGACTCACCAGCTGCCTCCTTCTGTCGTGGCATGCTCAGTGAGCCAGGGCCCTCAACCCTGATGCCTGTGCTGGGCTATGATCCTCCCCAGCTCTATCTGGCACAGCTCAGGGTAGGTCCTAAAGGGTTGACTGACCTTGGAGAGGAGATTTCCCTGGGGAGCTGGAGGAGGATCTCAGGTGCTTACCTGTAATCTCATGTCTTATCTCTCCCTTCCTAGGAGGCCTTCGGGGAACTGGCCCTTTTCTTCTATGACCAACATGGCGGGGAGGTGATTGGTGTCCTCTGGAAGCCCACCAGTTTCCAGCCCCAGCCCTTTAAGGTGTGATAGCCAGTGACAGCCAAGTGTCCTTGAGTAGTTATGTGTGGTTCCATGTGGGCATGCCTTTCTGTGTGTAGTCTGTTCCATGTGTGATCCTGTGTCAGATGTGGAGTGTGTAGGCTTGTGTGTCTTTCTCCACTGCCCCCATTCAGCTCCCAGCCTGGGGTCTCTGAATGTGACACCTCAACCCCATTTCTTTTCTTTCCCCAGGCCTCCAGCACAAAGGGGCGCATGCTGGTATCTCAAGGTGGGGAGCTGGTGATGGTGCCCAATGTGGAAGCAATCCTGGAGGACTTTGCTGTGTTAGGTGAAGGCTTAGTGCAGGCCGTAGAGGCCCGAAGTGAGAGGTGGACCGTGTGATGCCAGTCCTGGAACAAGCTAGATGGACAATAGGACTTTGGAGCTCTGGAACACTATGTCAGGAGGATAACCTTTGCTTTCATTGCATATGGACCCTCCATGAGGGCCTGCTGGCCTGAAGACACTGAATCGTCTCAAAAACTCTGCCCCAATTTTCTCTCATAATCCAGGATTGAGGCAGGGGTAATAGTGTCCTGTGGAGTCGCCAGGACCTTCCCATCTGAACTGCCAGAGAGGAGTAGGAGCCAGTTTAGAGAAGGAGCTAAACCCAAGAGATCTATCCACCTGTCATACCTGGGCCTGGGGCCTTTTTATTACTATTTTTAAAATTATACATTTTTTTTCTTTATTCATGATAGCACATGTGAATACAAGTGAGAGAAAAATGAGTACCCTTCCCTAAGATCAAGTCATGTCGTGATCCTTTTCCTTCAGTCCTCCGACCCATTGGATCTTAAGCATTTATATACGTGCCTGGCATATTTCAGGCTGATCATGCTGGGGATTTAGATCACATTTGCCACATGGGATTCAGTTTCTTTGAGTAGCACATTACTGTTGGCCCAAGGAACCTTTTTATTTTTTATTGTTCCATTGTAGGCTTCTCCCAGGAACAGTTGGAGAAGAGGGTAGACAGCTGGGGTGGAGTCTGTCTCCTTCCCACTACATGTGCTTAGATCTCAACATGCCCTTCACTGCAGCATCAGGCCTTTGAGATGGCACCCAGAGGAGATACAGCACTTCCTGAGGGTCATAGAGCACCAGTGTCAGGCAGTGGGAAGAGGACCATGTGTGTATGAACAGACTGCATTGAAAGGACACAGCGCCCTCCTATGTTGGTTCTTCTGTCCTCCAGGATGGCGGCACTAGGGAAAAACAGGATTGGAAGGAGCTGGGTGGTGAAGGGGTCAGGGGAACTGGTGGTCTTCCAGTCTGAGAGAGATGCAGGAAGCACTAGATACCAGCCCCTACCTCCCCTTCCTCCCCTGCCCCCCCAGTATCTGAGTGCCTTGCACCTTCTGTTTCTGCCTTAGCTATCTGCCTGTTCAACTCACAAACTGCCGCATGCACCTCCAGTGGCTTGTAGAGATGATTTATACCCAAGACCTGCTCTTCAGGAGCTTCTAGGGCCCCCTGGAGAAGAGGGAATGCTGCCTTCTTTCAATCTGGTCCACACCCCCTTTCTGGCAGCCTCTCTGTTTCTCCGTCTCTAATCCTGGCTGTTTATCCAGACTCAGCTTAAATAGTGCCCCTCCTTAAGCCCCTCCCTGGCCCCCAGCCTTAGGTGATCTTTCCCTCCTCAGAACTATTAAGGCAATTACTGTCTGTTCAGTTCACTTGGCAGGCATGTACAATGGTGTGAACTTCTCTATTGTCTTGAACTCTGATTTAAAATTTAATTGCTTAATTTCTCCTATGTACTTCTGGCTTATCTCCCTTTTTTGACATGGTTTTGACCTAGTCTCTCATACGTAAGCTCCTGGAGGGCAGGGAACATGTTTAGACACAGGTTTCTTGGTGTCCTTCACAGCACCTGGTACAGTGCAGTGCTTTGCTCAGGCAGGATACAGGTGTGTGCAGAAGGGGCATCCAGCCCAGGCAACTCGGGTGCAGGAAAGGCCACCAGAAGACTTCATAATTTGCAAACTGTCCCACAGGTCGGGTAGTGGTGGTGAGAAGGAAAACCTGAGATAATAAAAAGCTGGCAGTTAAGGGCCAGCCAGGGGCAAAGCTCTGTGATGTTGGGCCTATGGGAGAAGGCCCCAGGTTTGCATCAAAGGCCTCCCTGTACACGCTGGGCATGCCTTATTCTACTACAGACCATGTAGGGGTGCCCGTTGGTCATAGAAGACATCTTAGAAGATGTTTATTGAATGAAGGAATAGGCCCAGGATGGGCACTTTGTACACGGACTGTTTGGTGTCTGGCTAGTGAACACCTGCCTCAGAATAAGCCACATGTGGAAAGCTGGTCTCTAATTTCATCTCAACTCTTGGTCTTTGTGAATCTCTGCTGCCCCTGCTGTGACTGTCATGGGAAAGTGCAACCCAGGGTTGAAGTTAACATGGAAGATAAATTGGTTGGCTTCGTGTAAGAGGAGTCTACATCTTTCCCAGTGCTGTACAGTCATGCATTGCTTAATGATGGGAGTACATTCTGAGAAATGCGTAATTGGAGTTTCATCATGGGATCATCATAGAGTGTCCTTACACAAACCTAGATGTTAGACTACACACCTAAGCTATATGGCACAGCCTGCTGCTCATGGGACTGGCGTCCTATGTGTGACCCGTCATTGACATGCCGTGGTGCGTGTGTTGACTGTATAATTCATAAACTTCATGGAGCCCTGTTGGCCATGATCCATGTTATCTTTGTTTCCCTGCCTCCCTTTTCCTTGGTCCCTTGACTGTTCCTCCACAGTGTCTCCGTGGGCTCTGGGGAGGGCCAAGGGTTGCTGGCCATTTCATTCCTGGTCAGCCTCAGGGCCTTTCATAAACCCAGATCTGGATGATCCAAGAAGAGGTGGAATCTGTCCCCAGGCAGGATTACAAGTGGCTCTGAGAGATGCCAACAGTCCCATCCAGGGGAATGTGCCTAGTCCTGCTCTCCATGCAGTCTAGGGCAAGTCATTCTCCTTGTTGGACTCAGTATCCCCACTTGTAGAGTGGGCAGGGTGATGGCTTTGTCAGGCACCCAATGCCCAGTATGAAAGGGCTGAGAACTCAAACCCAAGGAGCTGAACCATCTCTCCCTGCACTCCCTGCCCCAGCCTGATTGGGATGAAGCGGGGGGGTGGGGGGGGGGGGGGGGTGGGGGGTGGGGGAGCGAGATAGCCCAGGCTCTCGTTCAAATCCTTCACATTGCAGCTCCAACCTATTCAGATTTTGCCTGGGAAGTAGATGAGGTTGGTGTCCAAGATGACTGCCTTGAGCTCCTTTTCTCAGATCCAGGATGATACTTGTCTGGCTGCCCAGGCCCCAGCCCACTGGGCTCTAGAGTAGAGAGGTGCTCAGGCTTTAGCTGAGGGGTCAGGGGAGGAGGAGTTAGGGCTGGGTGGTGAGCTGGAACCTCAAAGGAAGGGATGGCGAGAAGCCTAGCCAGAAGCTGTATGTAAGCAAGAATGCAGGGATGATGCTGTCATGCCTGCTGCTACGGGTCCCTGGAGAGAGAGAGAAAGTGAGAAGTCACCCCCTCAAACCATGCAGTAGCCATGTGGGATCCAGTCAACTGCCATGCCATGTGCTGGCCCCAGGGCCTCTGCATTTAAACTTGCAGGTGGGGGGGCCAACAGGTGGCATGGTAAAGGGCGCTGGACTCCCACATGGCCAACCGCGGTTCAAGTCCCAGACCTGGTGGCTTGCTTTCTCATTTTCTCTCTTTTTTTCCTCTCTGGTCAAATTAAAATAAATATAGTTAAATAATTCTTAAAAATAAAAATTTACAGGGGACCAGGAGGTGGCATGGTGGTTAAGTTGCTGGACGCTCCCACATGGCCAACCACGGTTTGAGTCCCAGACCTAGTGGCTTGCTTTCTCTCTCTCTCTTTCTCTCATTCTCTCTCTCTCTCTCTCAGTGTGTGTCTTTCTCTGGTCATATTAAAATAAATGAATGAATAATAAAATAAAATTAAAAAGCCTTTAAAAAATAAAATAAAGTAAAATAAAAATGTACAGGTGGACCTGGACGAGCTAACAGTCTGTATCTGGTGTGTGGCATAGCTTATCTATTCTGTGTGTTGGGAGTATGCACACGTCTATATGCACTGGACTATGTGTGTAGGTTTTTTTTTTTTAAGAGTTATTTTATTTATTTATTCATTTACTTATTTTATTTGACCAGAGAGGGACAGAGCGAGAGAGAAAGAAAGTGAGAAAGCAAGCCACCAGGCCCGGGACTTGAACCATGGTTGGCCATGTGGGAGTCTAGCGCCCTTAACCACCACGCCACCTGCCGGCCCCATGTGTGTAGGTTTTTTTGAAAGGTGATTTTTTTTAGAGGCTGGCAGCTGACATGGTAGTTAAAGATGCTGGATTCTCACATGGTCAACCAAGGTTTGAGTCCCATATCTGGTGGTTTGCATTCAGAACTTTATTGGGAGCTGGCAGGTGGCAGTGTGGTTAAGGCCACTGGGCTCCCACATGGCTGACCATGGTTCGATTCCTGGACCTGGCAGCTTGCTTTTTCATTTCCCCTCTCTCTCTTTCTTTCTCACTCTGTCCCTCTCTGGTCAAATTAAAAAGTAAATAAAGTTAAATAATTCTTTCTTTAAAAAAAAAAAAAAAAACGGACCAG